AAAATGACATTTACCATGCTATCTATGGACGTAATGACAACAGAGAAGTGTTTCGCCAAAGTAGCAACATAACGGTAAACACTGCAACTTTGAACACTTCGTACGAGGTCAATACTTCGGCCAAAAAATGTTTTTCCACAAACGTAGTGTATATCCTTCTAATGTCTGATTTATCACTGTGATTGCTTTCAGCAGTGTTAGATTTTGTAAAAATAATTATTTTAAAATTATCTGGTGAACACTCGGATCACATAGATGTGGTCATGGTGGTCGGTCAGGCGTGTTGGTCGCTCTGTAGGCTAAGCAGCTTTTTATTTCTTTTAGTGTTGTTTAGCCGATTTAAACAGCAATCCATGGAAGCTACATCAACACTGCTCTATGTGGTGACTAGACTGTCCGCAACTCCTTTGGTAGGGGGTGGAAGAACACTTCGTTCTATGTTTGTTCGCCCATCCCAACAACAGCCATGTTCTATTCCAAAGATACTCAAGCTTTGCAAGCAGTCTGGTGTTGCTCTTTGCTTAATCTACTTCGCTGGCGACCTTGAACTTAATCCTGGGCCTGCAGCGAGAAATGTCTGTGTAGAAAGATTATCAAGAAAAACCAATCTTTTGCAGACTGCTCGGTTTGTTTAAAGTCGATCCATCTTACATGCTTTGGGCCTGACTTAAATTTTAACAAATCCTGTAATCTGTACACCTGTCAGAATCATTCTGTGAATGAAATTGATAACAACCTGGACAACAATGGCCTATTTCTATCACAGAAGTTAAGTGACATCTCAGCGATCAAGGGCTTTAAAATTGTCCACCAAAATATTAGGATTCTCCCTGGTAGGATTGATGAATTGCATCTCATCGCTTCTGAACTGCGCTTGAGTCTACAGTTTATGAGTTTCTCTGAAACCTGGGCACATAAAGATATTGCAGACTCTGAGCTTGAGATTCCTGGCTACCAACTTTTTCTCTCGGTAGTGTCTCTTTGAAAAGGGAGGCGTTGGTTGGAAACCTAATGGATCAGTGCCAATTTTTAAATTTGGATTGGTGAATGAGACGCTGATTGTTAAGGTACTTCTAGGTCTCAAGGCAAGCAAGGCGAGTGGTCTTGACAATATATATCTGCGTATGTTGAAGGATGTTGCAGTTGTTGTTGCCAAGCCGCTGACTTGAATTGTAAATGAATCATTGTCGCAGGGAACAGTGCCAAGTGAGTGGAAGTACGTAAAAATAACCCCACTGTTTAAGAAAGGACTGTCTACCTATATGGATAACAACTGTCCAATTTCGGTTTTACCAGTTGTGTCTAAAGTGTTGGAGAGGGTTGTACATCATCAACTACATAGCTTTCTTAGTGAACATAAGCTGCTCAACCACTACCAGTGTGGCTTCAAAAGGAACCACTCAACTGAATTTGCAGCTATTGCCTTTTCAGATTGCATCCGGCATGGAAAGGACCTCGGATTGCTCACTGGGGCAGTATTTATTGACTTGTGCAAGGCATTTGACTCTTTTGATCACGAAATACTTATTAGCAAACTGGAGTCATATGGACTCAGGGACATTGAGTTAGACTGGTTCTGAAACTACCTGACAGATCGAAAACAACTCGTGAGTCTTGGTAAAGAAATATCTGATCCTTGTCTCATTACATCGGGTGTCCTTCAAGGGTCAATCCTTGGCCCTTTACTCTTTGTCCTTTTTGTCAATAACCTTCCTATAGTTTAAGAGCAATGCCAGATTCTGATGTATGCTGACAATACAGTTATGTATTTCGCTGCTAGTAATGCCCAAGAAATCAGTAGTACTCTTACCAGTGAACTTGCCAAGGTCAATGATTGGCTTCTACACACTTGTCTTTTTATTCACCACGGCAAAACAGAATGTGTCATGCAAACCAACAGCAGTGATGAAGCTCACCTGAGATAGATATGCTGGGGCTTAGACGGGAGATGCTAAACCTTGTGAAGAATTGTCTGAATGAGTGCTGCCCGCATTTTTTTATGGATTACTTTTCTTTTAATAGAGGTATTGTACAGAGGAAAACACAGCAAAGTAACCATCTCTGTTTTCCCTCCATCAAACTAGAATGTACGAAAAAGCTTTCTATTATCATGGACTTGAAGTTTTGAATCGTAATTTATAGTTTTTATTAATAGTTGTAATAATTTTAGTGTTGTTTTAGGATATCTTACTATTACCTTAGTTGGACTAGTTTATGTACTTTTAACATTTATATATATATATATATATATATATATATATATATATATTTATTAGGGCCTCTAAGAATATCAGTTTTTGTAACTAGGAGTTACCCTCACCAAATAAAAGCATCTTCTTCTTTTTCTTCATCTCTAACGCTCCATCTAATTTGATATGCAATATTTGGAAATTTATTTTTTATTCGCTTCTGCAGTTTTTCAATGTTTATCGAATGATATTGCATTAAAAGCCCTTTTTCTTCATAACTGCGAAGTTTTCTCATTATTTTCTGTTGTGATAGTGAGTTTTGAACCGGTTTTTGAAAGGGCATATTTTGGGACAGATTTTGCTTCTATCAGACGTAACAAGTTCGTGGCTCAATATTTTTGGTTTGAAGCAAACTGAAGCAAAAGAAATTCCTTTAGAAATAGTTCTAGGTAACCTCTACTTGGAAGATAAAAATTGACCGATAGTAATTTTTAGCAAGAAATCATTGGTCGTTTCTAAGGCGCAAGGTGATTTTATAAAATAAAACGCAAAGTTTTGGAATGTAGCAGACTTGCTAGTCTCATTTCCAATGGCTCTTTAAAATTTTCCATTTACAGACAATTGTATTACATCTATCAGTAGGAGCAACAAAATCTTTTCTCAGGTTTCTAAAGTTTCTTGTTTTACCTCACACAATGCAAGTCTTACCTTACTCTCATATAACGGCCACAACCATCAAACTCTTGCTAGCAATGAACATGTTGAAAGAGAATATCTCAGAGTTTGTTGGTAGTTTGGGCAGCAACCCATCAAAGTCACAGACACACCAAAAAAGCCATGGGGGATGTCATAGTTGTGGACTTCAGTGTACCCTAGCTCAATGCACACTACAATCTAGTAGCCACAGACAAAAGAACAAGATATCCTGAAGTCGCAAAGACCCACTGAAAAGCTTCTTAGCCGGCCATGAAGAGGCTTCAAACAGTGTTTGCTGTTTATGGCACCCCAAGACAGCTGCAAAGTGCCAATGGACCACTGTTCAGCCCCAGGGAATTTGCCGAGTTCACTAAAACAGAGAGATTTTGCCATCATCAAGTTACCCTGGAACACACACCCCCTAATGGCAAGGCAGAAAGCTTCTTGAAACTGCTTAACAAGACATAACAGGTTTCCCTCCTCAAGGGTAGAAATGGCAGCATAGCTATTCAAGAAATGTTTAGAGGCCACTGCTCTACACCACACCCTGCCACGAGAATGGCACCATATGAGGCTCTCATGAACAGAAAAGTCAGAACTAAGTTAAACCATCAAATGAGGGGGAGTAGTGCAAATGCTCGTGCACAGCTATCAATGAGAGGGATGAGAGATACAAAGAAAAGATCACAGTGAATGTTGAGGACATGAACACCAAAGAACACACCTTCACTGTAGGGGATCATTTATATTTGAAGCTAAAGAAGAAAGACAAATGGGTTCATGGCATATGAACCAGAATTCTAGATCGTAACCCAAACTGACAGATTACACATTGTAGCACAGATAATCACATATGGACGGGAAGTGTATGAAGATACAAGCCAGTTTAAGACTGCTAATATGTCAATCCAGGACAATACATGCAGAGTGGGAGGACCAGGAAAAAGAATCAATCTCAGAGGATTGGAGAGAGAAAATTCTGCTGAATACAAACCCTTAGCACCAAGATGGTAATAGGGAGTTTAAGATACGGTCACTACGGACTACGGACTACGGACTACGGTAATACACGGCGAGGACCTGGTTCGAGATTTACTGCGCATGCTCGATAGCACGTGGGCTTCGCAGTCCGTCGTGTGGTTGCAGGCTACAGGGAGTAGTCGAGGAGATTCGCGTAGTGAGGACTACGTAAGTATTTTTTTTGCCGATTTTTGACCAGTTTTGTTTTCTAAACGCTACTTTTATGTTGAACAGTCTTTAGGCAATTAAACTTGAACGAAAAGAAGTAAAAATCGCATTTTTTTTCTGTTTCTGGTTCTGATTACTGACGCCCTTTGAATTCTGTTGTGTTTACATGCAGATTAGGATGTCAACAGGAGATGAAAGCAGGTAATTCACTTTCTTTTTCTACTTTTCAAAGGTGAACTGCGAACTTTGTTGGAAGTATGTACTTTTTCCAAATCAAAATAGATTGTAAAGGCTTTTACAGGGTTCGTACAGGTCATGGAAAACCTGGAAAGTCATGAAATTTAAGAATTCATTTTCCAGGCCTTGAAAGTCATGGAATTTAATTGTCGGTCATTGAAAGTCATGGAAAATTCAAGTTATGTTTGCTAGACTAGTTCGTGCACAGTCCAAAATAAGGACAAAAAGACGTCATTAAACGGCTTTTAGAAATGGCACATATGGTGGACACTAAAGTGTTATCTGTTGCACTGAGTAAGGTAAATACCCTAAATAAAAACAAGGATAGTTTTGAAAATTTTCTTAAGTGACAGCTATAACCAAAGTCATGGAAGACTGGAAAAGGTCATGGAAAAAGTAATGGAAAGTCATGGAATTTGAAGGGCTCAAAAGAGTACGAACCCTGTTTTATATAAACGGAAACTTCATTGTCAATCATGACACTGACTGGGTATTTGTTTGTCTCTTTAGTGTGTGCTCCAGTGGCGAGTCAGCCGCCTCTGTTCGAACAAAGTAAGCTCACATGTCTGAAAATGGCATTTGTATAAATCGTTTTTCAAATGCTCATACATTAATTTATATACTGGTTTTGTGTCCTAAAATTGATATGCAGAAGGAGAGTTGAAGCTTGGGAAGGGAAGTTAATGGAGAACTATGGTGAATCAAAATCTGATACAATGACCAAATTGGGAGTCTTATGTTTACTTTGGATTTAAAATTAATGTTTTTTTTAATTTAACCTTGTTTCCCAAATAAAATAATTTACTGACTGGAGACAGCAGCCTAAGGACAGCTTTTTATGGTGTTATTGATCAACAGGTGATAAAACGTGATTGGCAGGATGCAATTTTGTACTAAGAAAATACTTTGATGCTGCGTATTAATTTTATAAAATGTGTTCCTTTTTAGTGGGCCGTTTCATTGGAATGAAGCAAAAAATACTCTGCTCCTTCGGGAATTATACTCCTCGGAGCCATTTCTGTACAAAGTGGGCAGCAAGGAAGCTGGCCAAAAATGGACAGAAGTAGCCGAAAAACTAAACTGCTTCAGTCTTTTTAGAGACATGCCTCGGGATCAGCGAAGTGTGAGGGAACAATTTAACAAGCTGTTAAAAGACTACAAGAACAAGAAAAACAAAGAAGAAAAAGCAAGTGGGATCAACCCTGATCCACCAACAGAAAACGAAACATTGCTTGAGGAAATAGTTGCGGCCATGGAGTCAACAACTCTTCGTGTAGGAAATGCAAACAGCAAAAAAGATGACCAGAAGAGGAAGGATGCACTTG